GACGGTGCTGCTCACAAGAGCAAGCTCGGGAACTGAAAGGGAGAAACAGGGAAGAGGAAGGAAGCCCGAGGTTCTGTGCTCTGCAGCCAGGTCTGGTCTCCCTCCTGAGATTTCATTCTCAGAACAGCAGCACATGGGGATGCAGCTGTTCTCCCTCTTTGCCTTGCTCGCCTGTGAGTTCACGTATTCAGTGTGCACCCCATAAACAGGGGCTCCTGTGCCATGGGGTCCCCATAGCAGCTGAGGACACTCAGGGGGCTCCTCGGCCTATTTCACTGCTGTGGAGGAGTCCAAGGTTTGGGGGACCTGGTGTAGACCTGGGAATGGGGTCTCAAGGAGAGGACTTTGAGGCTGTGATTTAAGAATCAGAAGGGCAAGCAGACCTCTGCGTTATTTGGCCAAAGCAGTCTTGTCCCCAGCTCGGAGCCCAGGAGAGGGTGTGTGCTCCACACAGAACATTTGCAGACCAGGCTGCATGCAATGTGTGTGCCACTCACCCCTTCTACTTCCACTGGAACTCAAGGTCATGCCCCAAGCTGCTGGCATCCCTGCCCAGGAGCTGAGAATCACCATCCAGGTTGGGCACCAATGCCATCTGCCATGGCGGACCTGGAGGATAGTGGAGGGCAGGGTAGGACACTGATCCCCAGTGAGCTCCAGAAATGGCATAGGGTAGAGTCCCAGGGCTACCCCACAGGTTCAAGTGGACTTGATGGCTGTGGTCAGCTCCAGTGTCCCCCACTCTTTAGTGAGATCCCATTTTTGTTTGGGGATGTTAGGGTCGAGCTCCACACATCCCCCTGAAACCTGGCATGTTGAAGACTTGGCCCCCAGGGCAGCTGTGTCCGAGGCAGGGGCTGGGAAGGGTCTGGACTGTGTAGTTCTCAGTGCATTAATCCCCTCCTGGCTTCTAGCCTCTGGCTTCTGGGTGCTGGTGCAGACAAGGGGAAGTGGGTCCAGCCAGAAGAAGCAGGTTACCGGGGCTGTCCTTGAAGGGAATGGTGGGACCTCTCCTGGTCACTTTCCAGTCCCTGAGGCTTAGTGTCTGACCTCTGCAGCTCAAAGGAGGAGAGGTTTATTTGGGCTCAGCTTGTAGACGTTTCAGTCTGGGGTCTGCCAGCTCCAAGGCAAGGGCTACATGGTGCAGGGACATGAGGGAGAAGCTGCTGTGGCAGGGTGGACAGGAGCAGAAGTCAAGGGAGAAGCAGGAGGGAGATAAACTCTTCTGGGTCACACTCCAGTGGCTGCTTCCTCCAACCAAACCTCAGCCCCTAAGAGAAAGTCAGCTGCAGCCCCAGGAGCCAACCACATTGTAGACAGCCCGAGGTGAGGGCCTGAGGCTCTGAAGACTAGATACCAGCTGTAAGAGGACCTGCCCATGTCTCCGTCTGCCTCTTTTGCCTGTGCCGGTGCCTCTGCTTCCTGGCTCCCACAGCCTCACCTCACTACTACAAGGTTCTATCTCACCCTCCTAGAGCTCTGTTTCCAAACAAGGAGGCCCAGAGAGGCTGAGTGGCTGATCCATGGTCACAGAGTGTGTTAAGGACAGCCAGAGCCTGAAACCAGGTATCCCTGACTCTACAGCTCACCTTTTTTTTTTTTTTTCTTTCCTATCTTTCTCTTGGTGTAATAAATTCTAACATCTTCCTTAGCTGTTTTAAGAGACAATGTCTGCTGGGAGCCATGGGTGTGCTGGCTACTCTGGAGGCTGAGGCAGGAGGGTGGCTAGAACCCAGGAGTTTGGGGATATAGGGTCCTAGGACACTGCCTGGGAATTGCTGCTTTGCTCTAGTCTGGGCAGCCTGGCAAGTTCCCAGCTCTTCAAACAAACTAAAAGCCCCAGGACCTGTTCTGGGCCATGCGCCTCTGTGAGGATGCACACCGAAGCCCCCAGGCATACACATCCACTGCTTTCTGCTTGTGTTTGCTCCTGCAGGTTGGGGCCCAGTGTGGGCAGCACGGTGCATGACAGGGCCATGCCACCCACACCAACGTGGCAGTTTTCCCAGCTGCCAGCTGTAGAATTAACTAGCCCATACCGCACATAGCAGCCAGGGATGGGGGCAGGACATCCCCTTTGGGGCAGGGTCAGTTGTGCAGGGGAGGACCCATGAGGCTGTGTGTATGAGCTGCGATTGCACCCGAGGCTTGTGGGTATGAATGCATGCAGGGTGTTGCTGTTTGCTGCTGCTCTGATGAGGAAATATCTTCCCGGGGATTTGGGGATGAGGAAGCAAAACCAGACTCTCAGGCACTGGGGGCCTTGTTAGCGTGCGTGATGGCAGACTGACTTTCTCCGCACAGCCACTCAGAGTGAAGCCTGTCCAAACTGAACCCAAGGCTGTTGTGTCTCCTTCAAGTGCAGATGGTGCACCTCCCCCTCGGGGTGAGATGTCAGAGGGCAGGCACTTAGGGGAGAGTACGGCCTCAGGAAAGGGCCGGCACTCTTTTAGGGGACCCTAGCACCCTGTCCCATCTGCTACAGAAGGACACAGCGCAAAGGCACCATTTGGAAGCCGGAAGCAGCTCTCAGTGAACACTGAGCCTCCAGGAACCCAAGAGATATCCTGCTGCTCATAAACCACTTTCCCCATTCTGTGCAGCAGCCACCCAAGCCCACTGAGCCACCAAGAGGAGGGTGACAGTCTGAAAGACCTTCTTCTTATTCTTCCCCTGAGCCCTGGGAGGTGGCTGTGGCTGTCCTCGCCTGCATGCCCCTGGCTGCAGGTCACTTGCATTCCGTGCATGGAGGGAACAAGGTGACTGCGTCTCTAGGACACAGGAATGGGGGTGGGCTGTGGCAGCCAGGCCTGGGTCCCAGGAGGTTTCTCCTTGTCCTTGTTCCCAGCCTGCTGTGTTCACAGTGTCCTAATTAATAGGGAGCCATCTTTTCTTCTCTTGCATACAGAAACCTCATGCATGGCAGATAAAATGTGGCACCGTTTTGAGCCGATGTGTGGAGCCATCTTAGATCTATGAAGTCCAGGGCCTCAGCTTGGGCACTCACAACGGTGGTGCCTGCAAGTCCTCCCAGCCCCTGGTGTAGGTGACAGGGAGCGCACAAGGCTTCCCCTGCCCTGGTCCTGGTCCTCTTTTCCTCTTCCTCCTGGTTCTCCCTTCTGCCCAGAGGCAAAATGAGCCCAGCTTCTGCCAGGTAGAGGCAGTGAGCTGGGTACACGAGGTGGCGTGTCCCATAAGAACAAACTGGGTCCCACAGCTGGAGGAGTGAGCCTAGGAATGCAGATCATGCCCTAGGCCAGTTTGCAACCAGCTGACCTCCAACAGGGGAGAGAACCGAGATCTGAAGTTGCAGAGCTGCCTGCCCTACCCACAGGTGACCTCAGACTCATGGCAGCAGAACTGTCCATCCAACCTATAGCCCTGGTCTCATCTCTCATCAATAGTCAGTGTGTGTGTGTGTGTGTGTGTGTGTGTGTGTGTGTGTGCTACGTGTGTGTGTGTGTGTGTGTGTGTGTGATTTTTCCCCATTGACATTGTTGCATTTGTTACACAGAAGTAGCTAACCAACACATCTCTTGTAAAGTTGTTCTTAGTGAGTGAATTAGAGCATAAGGTCTCTTTGCCCTTTTGTCCCAGCAACTGGGAGAAAATAAACTTCTATTTAGATTTTACTGTAACAGGATAAAAATGACAGAAATAAAGATGTGTTGAGGATAGAACCCCATGATGCCAGTCCCACACAGACCTTTCTCCTGGGCAGGAAGCCACTTCAGTGAGGTCATGAGTTGATATCCCTGTGGGTAGACTCACACTTAGCAAGACCCACCATCCCTTCTGGATGGCAGGAATTGAGAACCCTCCCTCTGGTGCTGACCAGCATGGCACGGGGCGTCTGGCCTCTGCCCACTCTCACTGAGACTTTTTAATTTTTTGGCAGAATTGGGGGTGAACCTCGGGGCTCTCTCATGCCAAGCATGTACTCTGCCACTGAGCTACGCTACCAGCCTGGAGTCCTTGGTTATCATGGATACTCCCCAAGTAAAGAGCATCACCTGGGAAAGAGGAAAAGACAGAGCGGTCTTAGTTCATCAAGAAACCCACTGAAACATTCTGCCGAAAGAAAAAGCACCATCTGCCTAGTTTATTTTTGATCAGTTTACAGCTGCTTTATTTTCTGCCAGAGGTTGGTATTGGCACAGCCCCCATTTTAGAGGTAAGGAAACTGAGGCTCACGACAACAAGGTGCCTGAGGTACAAGTGGTAAGGAGCAGAGTGGAGCCTGACCTGGCCTTCTGCTCTGGGTCTTTCAGGGTTGAGGGCTGGGGCTCGGGGAAAGACGGCTGGGATTGAGAAGCCATGGGGTGGGGACGTGTGTGTGTGGCATGGCTGTGTCTCCCTTTGTGCATCCGGAGCATTTCACCCTGATTTTCTAGAAGCAATGAAAACTATTGGCCTGTGTCATCTCCTGGCCGCAGGCACTCCAGTTTCAGTTCCCTTTCTTCTTTATAGGCATCTTCATGCAACACTGATAAAACCAAGGACCATGGCAAAAGTGTGCCCGGAACAGCAGAGCAGACAGCCTGCATAGGCTGGCCTTGATGGGACACAAGGGGAGAGTCGCCTGAATGCCCTGCAGCGAGCCTGGGCTGCCTGGTTCCCAACAGCCCATCCTTTTTCTCCACAGAGGCTGGTACTTGGCATGGGAGAAAGTGGCTCCCACAGCCCACACGCCCTTGGCCGCTGTACAGCCACCTCCTGGCAGTGTCTAGGACCTCTCGCGTGCAGCCAGACTTACTGCCCATGGCTAAGTTTACAGTCAGGGCAGAACCAGGCCATTTCCCTGGGCCCTCCGGTAGGACAACCAAACTCTCCCTCCCCAGCTTTCCCAAGTTACTGTGGCCTGGTGGGTCCTGAACACCCTCATTTCCCCTCTCTGTCCCCCAGCCAGGCCCCTGAGGAAATTCAAAGGGATGCAGGTGGTTTTCCCAAATCCCAAAGATAAGCAGGTCCTTCCTGCCCACCCCTTAAACTTAGAGCCTTTCAGAAATTATCAGAAAGCCCTGTGTGCCACACTTCATGCCATCTGGGCGGGAGAGGCCGGGTGTCAGGTGAGCCCCTGCAGTGACACTGCTGGCGGTGCCGCCTCAGACAAGCTTCATAGGTCCTTGGACTGGCTTTGGTCACCTGTCCCAGAGGGAGCTTCCCCACGACCCAAGGGCCATATAACTGAGCCCATGTGGAATGGGCCTGAGCAGAGCCTCAGCTGATGACCTTTCTTCATACTGACGTTGCCAACCATAGGTCAGACTTGCCTCCCAGTTACTGGCTGTGGTGGGTTGACAACTGTGCCAGTGTGGTGCGGGGTGTGGGAGGCCCACCTGAGGATTGTGGCCAGTGGCACAAGAGGCAGAACTGGAGAACAGAAGCTGTTGGGAGGCTGTAGGAAGCTGTTAGGAGCTGCTGGTTCTCTTGGAGGAGCTTGTCATGCTGGCTTTCCTGATGAACTTGGCTGTTCTCATCATTGAAGCAGGACCTTACTGTTGCTGAGAGTGGCTACAGTTCACTTTGGGGGAACTCTGGACCTCACTTGGAGCATTGATTGCTGACTCTGGAGGGGAAGATGGTGTACTGCTTAGTCTCT